CAGTACAAGGAACAGAGACATATTTTGGCTAGTATGATTAGCAGTTTTCCATTAGTAACCCAGACAACACTGTGAGAACTTCTGGACTGTTCCCAAGCATTCGTGGCATATCACAAGATCTGACTGGGAGACTGTTCTGACGAACAGATTCCAAAATTATAAGCAACTGTCTTGAAAATCATGGATGGCAATAAGTAAGTCTTAAGTGCTCTTTCCAATTTGCTGTTTTTTCCAACCCAGAGTATTATGAAGGACCTGAAATTGATCCATTTGTGGGCAGCTCTTAACTTTCCACACCACAGCAGCTGTATCATGCTGTATCATAGCAAGCCATGTACCTAGAATGAAAATGTTCACTCTTCTGTGTGCAGCTGTAGCCACCCACCCACAGCACTCCCAACCAACCTCCGTTCTCAGGATGGCTAGTGGAAGAGCTCCAGACAGCAGTTTCACCACAGCTCTTTCTACAGTCAGGGACTGACTTTGTGCTTTTTTGTAACCCCTACATCAAACCTCCAAAGAGAGAAGAAATTCAAATCTCAGAATACAGAAGGAAATGTACAAGTCTGACTTAAATAGAGCAAAGGAAATCTATTACCTATGATCCTGCCACAGACTCCAGTTACTGCATCCTCAAACCAGTCTGCATACATGCAGTTCCCCAGTTTATGTTTGGGCAATTACCACTTACTCCTCCAAGCCAGGCAGCTGCCAGAACTGGTTTTAAGAGCCACAACTAAGGGAGCTGTCTGAGACCTCAGAGGCCTATTAGCCTAACCTGAACATCAGAGTAAGTCACCCAGTGCATGAGAAAAGTCGAACCCTACGCATTAATCTTTGTCCAGGATCAGAGCAACCTGACATTTTATTCACCACAGTCCTCCCATATCTTTCTTTCCAGTTTCCTATGCAATATGTGGGATGCTTTCATTGTGCAGCTAAACACCACCAATGACAATGGTATTTTCTGCATTTTAGGTTTGCCCAGCTCATAGCTCTTTCACTAGCAACTGGAGCAGATTAAATCTGAGCCACTTGTCCTGAAATGCTTCATGGATCAGTTGTAAAGGACATTTGGGGTACAAGTTTTGGGATTGTGCCAGTCACCCATGATTTGTGGTATCACCTGTGGTGTCAATGATGACTGCCAGACCATTGTGCTGCATTAACATCACACAGACTACATTATCTCTTATCTCTTGCTCAAGTGATTTACTAGATCTTCTTAGGGCACATATGTACAAAACATTCTGCACAGCTTTAGGTTCATCAAGGAAGGTTTTCAGAGTATAGGAAAAAGAAATGTAAATCTGAGTAGGATTTCTTCTCTCCTTGTCTCTTTCAAATGTTAGTATAGTTAGTCTCACCTTCCCTTAATTTTTCTTTTCTTTTCCTACCTCTGTTAAGGCTTATTTACACCAGCACCACCCCAAAAAAACCCATGCAGGTAAGCCTTCTTCCATGGGCATTCATGATAGACACACCTACTCTAGATTCATGAAGAAGTTTATTTTGAATTTACCTTCTATATTCATGACACATAAAAAAAACAGAGGTGCAAGAAACTAGCAGCTTTGCTTAACTTTGTGCCAAAGAGACAGCACGGTTCACAAAGAGGAAGGTTCTACCCTGTCAAATGCTAAGGTCTAAAGTCTTTCTAAAGTCTAGAAAAGAATTCAGTCTCACCTTGAAAATGTTTTAGTTCTTCAAGATAATTAAATGATATTTTTTCTTCCCACTCTCCCCCAAGCAGCACAGTTTAACTACTCCCTTTACACACATTTATACTCTCCAATCACTAAACAAAATAAAAGTTTCTGAAAGGCTCCTACATGCATTTAGCCTGACACAGTAATATAAGCCTGAAATAATGTGGGCTACTAACACACAGGTCAATATCCAGCAGTGAAGACTTTCACAAGAATCTCAACTCAGTCTGCTCCATAGTGCCACCCCCTTCTCAACAGAATGCCCTTCAGAAGGTGGAGTCAGATTCTTTTAAAACAGCCAGCTAATCATGGGGTTTTTTTGCTGGTGAATCAAAAAACAGGACGTGTGTTGTTTTCACCGATTATTTTTCCTGACAATAAAAAAGTATAATCCATCAGGAAGGGAACGACCATCAAGAGAAGAAAAGAGAGCTTTGCACTGTCTTTTGTTCAGAAATTCCTGGCACAGGAGTATCATCTATTGCTTACTTAAGCATGTGAAATGGGAACAGAAGGAACAGGATTAATGTACCTGAATTGCCAGACTACATCATTTATAGACACAATCCTACTCTAAGAATTACTGAAAAACTAAGGGAATTAACAATAACAATATTAGACTGATTTTCAAAGTTCTGGTGGTGCTCAGAGTGTGCCATGTACCTGCCTTGGGCTGCACAACGCTCTGCTGCAGGTACAGAGCTCTTCTCTACACAAAACTGCTATTTCACAATAAATGTAGCAGAAGGTTCCTGAAGGCCTAAATTATATTCAAGAAGAGTATTTAGGCTGCTAAATCATTCAGGCACTTTCAAAAGATTTACTCAAGTTCACGAATCTAATTGCTCATCTAAGCTTAATTCAGCTCAATTTTAAAAATCAGCTAAATTGGTGCTAATGCTGACGACACTAAAAATGCTCTTAAACTCACTTAAGGTTAATTTGGTGATTTACCAACCTAAAGGTTAAGCTGACTGAAGGTATTTTTTAATACAGAATCTTACACAACTGCATTGGCTTAGCTATAATAATAATAATTTTAAAAGTTTATTCAAGCTTCTCTAACACTGACAAGCTCAATAACTTTACTTAAGGTAATACTTCTCTTGATTAAAAAAGCCATAGAGGAAAATGACACCAATAAATACAGTTCTTGTTCTAGCACAGTTACTTAATTTTTTCAGGATATTCAGTAAAACAATCATCAGTAGAGAAAAAGCCTTCCTATTCCCCTGACTTAAATGATCTTCTTTCTTGTAAGGAGTAACCCTTGTATAAGAAATGCTGTTTTGAATAGGTCTAGACTTTACACAGCCATGGGTCACTAATTTAATTAGATTTCAAAGCAGCCATTCTACCTTTACACTGAATACAATACTTCCTGTACCCTCCCTCACAGTAAAAGGAATAAAACAATCCCCAAGAGGTTTACACCTCAATGCATGAGGAAACAACAACAAAGTGTACATACAATACCTTGAGTTACAGATGGGGTTTATATTGTTCAAGTTATTAGGAAAACCTTAACTACCTGCTAAGTTGGTATTTTTAGCAAGGAAAACAAAACTGGAAGTAGCAAACAACATTCAAAGGTAAGCTCATTGTAATTGGGTTACGAATAAAAACCACAAGGGCAAAATTCCCTGCTCTGGTCCCCCCAAAAGCTAGAAAGCAAATCACAAAAAGTGAAGGGAGTTTAGTGGGAAAAAAGGACCACAGGAAGGAACAACAGTGATGTAAAATGGAGGCAAAAAGAAGCTGAATTCTATCTTTTCAAAAGCAGCATTCTTTTCTAGTGACAGAGGAAAGACACTGATTTCATCACAAGATGTTTAAGTGAAAAAACAGGAAGGTAAAACTAAATGTAACTAAGAGATTAACAGAAGTTTGGGAATTGGGGTCCCTATCCTTACTTGGAACATAGCAAATAAAATACTAATTATGTTGTTATTTCCTCAATTATGGCCACTTCTGCTTCACAAAGCGGTAAGTTATAAGAGCAAGCATTAATCAGTAGAACAGAGCTCTCATCCAGTTACAGAGAAATATCTCGTGGCACAGGGGTACACCACGGAAGAAGGGAGAAGATACAAGGAGCCAGAGAGACAACCCAGCATTGTCTTACTTCCAAAGGAAGTACCATCTTGAGACACTTGAGGATGCAGGGGACCTGGGGCACATATGCAGAGCCCCTGGATACTCAAGAGAGCTGTAGATGGGACTAGATAAACTGCCAGAGCTGTGATGATTGTGCTGGAATCAGAGCTGTGGGATTTAACAGTAAGATGAAAGCTGTCTGTAACACATCTCTTCTTTGACCCTCTTCTCCCCCATAGCACTGTGCTTAAACAGTGCCAGCTCAAAAACACACCTGCCACATGAGCACATTCCTGGCTACATCTATCTACAGTAGTAGCAAACACATGATTTTACTTTTGTATTCCTGGCTACATCTATCTACAGTAGTGGCAAATACATGATTTTACTTTTGCTATTTATTTTTAAACCACAGAGCTGCTTTATCTCCAGGCTAGCGTAAGTTCACATGGAGATGGCCAACTAATTTGAACTGACTGCAGGCAAGTCAATACAGGCATTACTGAAGTAGCACAAGCAGGTGGGGACCACCAGAGAGAGATCAGCTTGGTAGCAAATTCTAATTTATTCACAGCACATGGAAGAATGCATCAGCAAAGACTCTCAAAGTGAAGAGCATTAATTAGTTAAGCCTACTCAAGTTTTGTGGCTATTTTAAAATTAATAGGGTTGAGTAAACTAGGGCAAGCAGACAAAAAGGCCCACATCCTCAAAAGCACATTGTGGGTATGCTGAGAATTGTCTTTGTTGATCTGGATCTAAATGGATTTCAAGGTCTAATAATGAATCAATGAGTTGAATACTGTTTCCTAGATTCCTATCTCTCTGTGATCAGGCTCTTATAATGACCTGGGTTGCAAAGAGTGTCTTCCACTGCATTATATTAGACCAAAGCTGGTATTAAAGAAATTTCAAAATGTTGAAATTATGTGATAGTTGACTCATCACAGCAAGAACCACAAAGCTGAATACTGCTGTTGTCTTTTGTTACATACCCATGTAACCATATGCAAATTATACCAAAAACAGAAACAGCAAAATAACAAAGCATGGTGGGTGTCAAACTAGCTGTTGTCTTCTGTGGTATATATTCACAAGAGATGGATGGAGTACTTAACAAGAAGTTTGTGATGAGAAGAGAAATGCTTTTGCCAACCAAGTATCCAATAATATTTAAAAGTAAAGTTAACATACCTGTTCCTTCTTTGCTCTTTTTCTCAGACTGTGCCACTTGTATAACCTCAGCAGCAGCATCCCTTACTACCAAATCTTCATTCTGCAGCAGTAGAACCACACATTTCCACAGAGCAAAGGTATCAGACAGTCCTATAGTTAATTATAGAGAAAAACTTAGAATTCTATTTCTTATATGCATTCAAAGAAGTTAGAGAGCTCTGTTTCTACACCTAAACACAATAAATGTAGTGAAATGCATTGGCAAAGCACTGGCAATGTGATCAAAGTATTTTCAGCATGTGTGAACTTTATCTAGGCAGTAGACTCAGCTTGGTTTGAACAGTGGGCAACAGATAAGAGAATGGACCTCTCTTAATCTGGATTCAACTGTAAATCGTGAGTGCTATGAATTTTCTACAATTTCTAGGAGTGCAGAATTCCTATTTGGCAACATCAAACCGTTCTGCCGCTGGAGATTGACCAACAGACTGTGATCACGGATTTGCTGTTGCAATCTGCCTGGAGCAGGGGCTGCCAAACCAAGTTTTCTTCAGATACCACCAGTGGTGCTGGACACAAATGCCATTCTCAGGAGGGAACTGCAAACAATCTCACCCCTCAGGGATCTACCCATCACCTACTTCTCCCACATCCACCTCATCCTACCACTCACCAACATGCCCTGCCACCCTCACACCCACTATCTGCTGGAAGCAAGCCAAGTTTAATCCATGAGCTAATTACCTGCACACAGTTAAGACTAATGAGAGACAACTGCCAAGAGGGAGGTGCTCATCTGCTAAACCCCAAGCAGGCAGACTGCACACACCACCCCAGAGGCAATTTACATGTCACCAGCCATACTTCACTTGCAAACCCCTGTGCCATTTAGTGGTGTAACAAGTCACAAGGCTGTAACTCCTAGGTTTGCTGGGGTACTTTTCAGCTGACTTTTCAGGTCTTGTTGAACATCCTCATTAAAGGAATCCAGTGGAAGGTCTCTTTTAGATGCAGCCAGCTGTTAGATATTACTTTCTGGTGATCACAGACAACAACAGAGATGGTGCTTCACAGCTATGCTGGTTTTCTTCAACCATGTTATCAGCAAGACTATCAGAGATTTATATTACAAGGCTGGCCAGACAATTGTATTTCACTGCTTAGCCAAAATAAATTGCTCAAGGCTCTACTACACAAGCAAAAGAAGCATTCCTCTATTCGTGTAACTTCCCTATGTGGGAATGGCATGGAGGATAATTATTTCAGAAAGAAGTTGCCTTTTTTCCTACTGTGATATACTCAAGAATGTTATACTGGCACAGTTAGGGCAGAATAATTATTCCCTTATAGATTCAATGGCCATCTTTCCCACCTGGACAAGTTTCTACTCTATCTCCAGAAGTGGTGGAAGTCTGCAAATGGATTTTCCAGAAAGACTTTTTCTGAACCCTCAAGCAGCATGATGGAGAGGTGATAGGGTCACCCAGGACATATCAACTGGCATTCAGCCTCTTCTTCTTCTGATTGTAATAATGGAAGCTTATGGGAATGACTACAACTCTATTTCACACAACCACAGTTTCCTTTTACTTCTACTTTTTACTTTATGTGGTCAAGCAAGTTGATGCAGAGAGAACGAGGCGTAAAAGTCAAAACTCTTTATATCTGCATAACTCCTTTAATTTTAAAGGAACGATTCTCAGTTTATATCACTACAACAAAACACCAGTTCACACCCTTGATTTGCTAAACTTTTCACTGCAGTACTGATGGTTTCACAGCCGTGAAGATCCCCACATTGACAATTCCAGATAGTATGGAGGGTTAGCTCTGCATCTTTCCTTCCCAGACCAATTCTCAGCACAAAGAGCTAATTCAGGTGGTTTGCCCTCTGAGCCCTTGGGGCTTTATTTTCTGGGCCATTTTGTGGGGATTTACTCCAGTTTGCTTGTTTGTTTTTTATGGGGGATACAAATGCTGCTACTTTCTTTGTTTGAGACCCCACATCTGCCAGACTGGAAAGCATGAAAACCAGAAACTGCTTTGACAAGATCAAAGAGGAAACTTTTCTCCATCAGCTATGGACTACATCCAAACGTTGACATATGAGAAGCACAGCATTTGGGAGTTTTTCACTCCAATACCTCCACTGTCTTCAGTTCATATAAAATGGTAATAATGTCTGTCCTATGAAGAGCTTTATCTAGATGGTGGAGGTCAGGATATCCAGAGTTGACACTATGAACATTTAATAGTGCATTGTGTACCTCATACAACAGATTTAGCTCTGTTAAATGTTATCAATACCTCTTAAAAGATGTGTCTCAAAATAAATAGCCGATTTTTTAAATAACACTACTATCTACAGTTCAAGAAATACACTGTTCTTCTTGTATAATGAAAACTTGTATCCAGTCCATATAGCTGAAGCTACTCAAAGTAAAACATTTAAATAACTACACTGGGATAAAATATCGCAGGAACTAAAAGTATTTAAAGCTGCTTGTCTTGTTCAGGATGCAAAATAATTTCTTTGTCATCAAATCACTACCTATTCTTGTATATATCCTTGCCCCTTTAGTCAGAAAATGCCCTTGTTCTCTGTTCACAGAAAGCAGGGGGAAAAACCCCATGTACTCTGCAGAGCAGAACAGAGCAGAATTTCACTTAGCTTTGCCTCTCATTCACTAATGCATTGTTCAATAAGGCTGTGTAGGTTTTCTTTGTTTCTTTCTTTGTGTTCTAAAGAGACAGTCTACTGTTAACTTTTAAAAAAATTATTATACCTGGGAGGTATAATGTGATCCAATTATTAATCATTCTTATAGTAGAACACATCCCTCATTTCAAGATTGAAGCCTTTAATTTCAACATTCAGCCAGCACAGTTTTGTTATACTCACAGTGTCAAACAAAAAGTATGTCCTCATCACCAATGAAGTATTTCAGAAAGATTCAAGTCAGAGAGCAACTGCAAGCTAGTAAATCTGTACAGCTGTGTACAGTGGCCTGGAGACATAACAACATCTCATGTGCCCCTTCTGCAGAGTTACTGTGAGAGGCTGTGCACATGTGCTTTTTGTACCAGAATTTAAGTCTGTATGTTTAGTAATTATATCTTATTAAACTTTTCAAAAACCCTGTCTGATGTAATTACATGTTTTGACTGTGTGCATGTAGAGATATATCTATACATTTTAACTCATATATGTTAATGGATTTCATCTAAAAAGCTACAGAAAATTAATGTTCAAATTACTTACCAAGAATAAGCTTCTCGTTGATCAGAAGGAGCAACGTTATACTTTTAAGAACTTCAGCAGCTGCTAACAGCATCTCTGTCTCTTGCTCATCTCCACAAAAATGCACTATCAGCTGAATCCATTTTTTCAAGACTTCTTCTGAAATCTGAAGGCACAGAGCAAGTGAGAAGTATGCTGTACAACCTGGTGTTACTTCCTACCATCACATTAAACCCAGACAGATTGGGACCTCATTCACAGGAGAACAGATCAAGCAGCACCAGCTAGACCTGGACACAGTTGGGGTATGGGCAACTAAGGTTTTGGAGGGTTTTCTCCTTTCTTTCCTTTTTTACTTATTTTCAGTTAAAAGAAGTGAAAACCAGAACAACCAAATAAGGTAAAGAAGAGAACCAATGAAAAGGTAAGTCAAGTTAAAGGGCAGAGAGGTACAGGAGGATTCACAGAATCATGGAATGAGGAAGGTTGGAAGGGATCGCAGCGGGTCATGTGGTCCAACCTCCCTGCTCAAGCAGGGCCATCCTAGAGCACAGGATTGTGTCCACATGGTTCTTGAGTATCTCCAGTGGGGGAGATTCCACTTCCTATGCGTCAGTTTCTGTCCACTGCCTCCTGTCCTATTGCTTGGCACCACCAAGCAGAGCCTGGCTCCATTCTCTTGACACCCTCCCTTCAGATACTTATTGATGAGGTCCCCTCAGTCACCTCTTCTCAAGGCTGAACAGGCCCAGCTCCCTCAGCCTTTCCTCATAAAGCTCCAGTCCTTTAATCATCTTTGTCACCCTCCACTGGACCCTCCAGGAACACTATGTCCCTCTTGCACTGAGGAGCCCTGAACTGGATAGAGCACTCCAGATGCAGCTGCACTAGGGCTGAGGAGAGGGACAGGATCACCTCCCCTGACCTGCTGACACAGTGCTCTCCCTATTGCACCCCAGGACACCACTGGCCTTCATGGCCACAAGGACACACTGCTGGTTCACAGACAGCTTGTTGTCCACCAGGACCCCCAGGTCCATCTCCACAGAGCTGCTTGCTAGCAGGTTAGCCCCCCAGCCTGTACTGGTGCATGGGGCTATTCTTCCCCAGATGCAGGACCCTGCACTTGTCCGTGTTGAATTTCAGACGGTTGCTCTCTGCCCATCTCTCCAACCTGCTGAGGTCCTTCTGAAGGGCAGCCCAGCCCTCTGAGGTATTGGCAACTCCTCCTCGTTTTGTATCATCAGTGAACTTGCTGAGGAGGCACCTGCCCTTTCATCCAAGTAAGCAATGATCAAGTTAAACAATACTGGGCCCAGTACTGAACCTTGGGAGACACCACCAGTGACAGCCCAACTAGACTCTGTGCCACTGATTACAACCCTCTGGGATCAGCCAGTTCTCAATTCACCTCACTGAGGAATAAATGAAACTTCAGTCATACTCTGCCTCGTTCTGCATGGTACCTGGCCATGTACCTGCACTGCACAAAGGGACAGAGACAGAGCATGTCCTACAGATTTTGTAATAAAACAAAAATCTCCCAAGATATTACAATTGCTCAAATTTCAAACAGACACATGGATTATCTAGAAAGACAGAGCTTAACTTTTACCTTATGCAAGAGAAACAAAACCTTGCACAGATGCAAATACTGAATGCAAGCCCAAAGAAAGAATTTAGATGGATAACTGATGTATCTGGTCTTTTACAAAGCAGAAAGCACTCTCTGTAGAGATGTCTTAGATGTCCCATGTTTTACATGATTTTTAGAAAAAGTTGTTTTATCATTATTTCACTTGAGATTGTTATGCATTTTTCATTAATTCATCCTTGTTATTTTCATGTTTATAACCTGAAGCCCCTGCATTTTGCCTGTCTTTAACAAAGAGATTTAGCATCATAATTCATGTTCCTTTATTTGTGTGCAAATCTGAGATATTTCCTTTTTTTTATAACGAGACATTATTTTCATGTTTATAACCTGAAGCCCTTGCATTTTGCCTGTCTTTAACGAAGAGATTTAGCGTCATAATTCGTTCCTTTATTTGTGTGCCAATCTGAGATATTTCCTTTTTTTTATAGATGATTAGCATACAACATGAATCCATTCTGCTGCACATTCTACAAGAAATTATAGCTATGTAAGGAAAAAAATAATCTTCATTTAAAAACAGATCATAAGAATTTTGTCTATTTTAAAATATCCATTAAACGGTTTTTTGTCTTTGAAAACATTTTTTAAAATGTCTGGCACTGTAAGCTGCCTTTGCACTGCTCTACACATACATATATGACATCACAGACTGACAATTTAAAAATCAAAAGAAATCTGAGCCAGCAGGGAACTGCACCCAAGCATAGCTCCAGCTTCGTGCCTTCCCATCGGACCTGCTCTCCTGGGGGCTCCCCAGCAATCAGAAACCACAACAAAGTTGCACTTTAGTAAATGGGCTGGATTCAGAACACAATTTAATCACCACAGGCATTTCTCTTTCCACATTATAGTGACCACTTTGGGTGAGCTCAGAAGTTGAAATTAATCCATCAGAAATATTTACTTATGTATTTAACTTGAAAGGACTTGGAGAGGGATATACTGAGATGATATTCATGGCCATTTCATTTCAGAACATGGTAGTGTATTCAGACAGAAAGACAATGTCGAAAAAAAGTGCAAGGACACAAGACAACACAAGCTTGGGGGCTTGATTTAAAAGAAGTCACATTACTCCAAACATCAAAAATTCCTGAATTACAAAACTGTTAAGCACCTCCATTTCCCTTACCTGCTGATGGTTCTGAAAAAGATGGATAACCAACTTGGAGGCAAATTTAAGAGCTATGCTTTGAGCTTCAGTGCTGAAAAGACAAGGCAAAGGACCTATCAAAAAAAGTTATTTCTACCATCATTTCATCTCTAGAAGAAAACCAGCCAGCACTTAATTATTTCTGATTATCACCAATGAGTGTTTTGCAAGCTGAGCACTCAGAGTTTTTACATTACAGATCTTGATGTTAGCCAAGTTTTTAGTTGATATGCAAATGAAATGTGCCCTTACTTTCATCTCTCTCATCTTTATTTCCTATTTACATATTTCCTATAGAAAAAACATTTGAAAATGGAACCCAAGTCAAATAAACAAGAGATTAATTTAAATTATAAACAGAAGCATCTCTTCAAGCTGCAAGAATATCTCTTCTACAGCTGCTAGAAATGTTCCTAGTGCAGAATATGCTAGCTACCAGCTTCCAAGCCTCCATGCTGCCCAGCAGAACCTAAGGACATGGCTCTTGGCACCTTGGCCTCTGAAGGCTGATCTCACCATGGGCAATGGCAACAGCTGAGCAGTAAGGTCTGCTATTTCCCTCTAACAGCACCAGTCAGTGTTATTTTATCACCAATATCTTTCTTCATTCCAGAAATGGCCACTCTCCATCATCATCATTTAAACTTGAACAATTTAGTGCAAATCAGCAGTAAACATGCTCAGCTATAAAATGCTGTTCTACATTCTATACCCTAAGTACTCGACACCGGTAACACTGGAGTGCAATGTTTATGTGGCTAAAAACCTGTTAGAAACAGGATATTCTGCCCTTAGAGCCTGGACACTTTAACCCTATTTATGCATTCCATTATGAATGGATGAACACAGCTTCTAATTTGCTACAAACTGGCTCCAAAATTTTGGTGCTTTCTGCTGACTTTACAGCAGTCTGAATAAGGAGTGCAAACCCTAAGGATTAGGATTAACTATTTCTGCCAGTCCAACAAATCGGACAACAATCCAAATCAGATCTGTCATTCTTTCTGCAAACCATCTGCACATAAGCAAGGACAGGATGGATGGCAGATTCACAGGCAATGAGTATGTTTGGATCATTAATCCTAAGTGTTAATTCTGTGTTAAATTGGGTGTTTCCCAATTACCATTCAGGAACAGCAATGCTCATGGGCTATCATCAGACAACCAGGGTAACTTCTTATTTCAGGAACTTTATTACTGGACATTTACAGGGTGCTTGCCAGTTTGACTTGTGGGCACTTTTAATAATTCAGATCCACGTCTGACTTTTCTGAAAAATTCTCAAGAACTCTCTTTATTCAAGTAAGACACACTTGCTTTTCTGAAACACGGATTTTTAAATCAAAGGATAGTCCCAAACCAATAAATGTTTCAACATTTAAAGCTTTTAAAACATACATATTTCGACATGACCATACCTGTTGGAGGTATCTACGAGGTTTAAACTCCAGGTTAAGAGCTCATGTGGATTCATTTTCATAGTGCATTCAGTCTTTGGAAGCACATTTCTGAGATCCAGATTATAAAGGATTTCTAGCACCTGCAGACACAATTTACAAACAAAGAATTCACAGACAGCCTCAATGTGAACGTGCACATTTGAGCTCAATAAAATGCCAACTTAAATCCCACTCCACGAACACAAAGATTCTCTCTGGACAGGGCTAAGAAAGGAAAGAGGAAGTTCTTGCTTTTACACCAGCATCTGTTACAGAATTACAACACAGCTCCTCTTCAATGCAAATAACCACAACTACTCACCTACTATTTAGTAGACATAATGCATGTTTTGAATATATTTTTATGAATTAATAATATCCCTTACTGAAAACATAGCAAATATCAATCAAATAGCACCCTCCTACCTTGCAAAAACATGGGAGATTCGTTTCCTTCACAGCCATTGTGGGAAGAGTGTCTTCCAAATCAGTGAGTGAACACAATTCACCTTCTCTTCTTTCTGCAATGTGTTTGGAATTGCTCTGTTTCAGCCACAGCAGTATTGCTTCCAACGCAAGCAGACGCACTTCATGAAACTCACAGTGCAGGAGATGAGCTATTGACAACGATGGCTTGGCCACTTTCTTTGCAACAGCTGAACCACTGCCCTGAATGTCAGGGCCTGCAGTCACTGACAGCACTGCTATGACAAGTTTGGCCATGCTCTGAAGATACTGTATCAGTCCTGGTACTGCAGATGAGTAGGGAATACCAGAGACTAATTCAGAATCTGTAATAACTCTGTTCGTCATTTCCCAAAATTCAAGCAATTGCATTCCTGGAATGAGAACAACACTTAGTAAAGTGAAAAATAGACGATGCTACCATCTGCTCCAGACCATGAAGTTGAAAAACATCAGGTATGCAAAAGGTATGACAAGGTAAATTCAGGCATGAAATGCAAATCATAGCTCTCCTTCATTTTAAACTGACTGCAAACTATAAAACAGCTTTCCTAGGTATCACGAGTATTCATATTTAAACAGAAAGAAGGACACAAGTTTTCTGAGAACTACAAATTGTTCACCACATGAGCTGAAAGTTTCATGCAACTTAAAAAATTCTGCAATACCTTGCAGATTGCCTGTCATCTTTACCAATTATAGCTGTTTGAAAAGTATTTCCTTAAATCAACCTACTAATACAGTATTGCAAATTGCACATGCTTTGCACTACCACTGTAGAAAGTGATTAACACAAATAAACTATGAAATATATTTGGAAAAAATGTAGAGTTAGCTCTGAAGTCAGAGACCAGACTGGACAAAGTGCTGTCTGTCAGCCTACTCAGCTGAAATCAGGAGAAATTATGACAGAAGCCATTCTGACAACATTTTAGATCCCACTCGTTCCTAGCTTTGCTCAGAAAAATATACTACAAAGAAGATGCCCCTTCTACATAAATAGACGTGTCCCATGTGTATCAGCCTAAAATATTTACTGAAAAAATAATCCAGGATGTTTTTCTAATGCTTATTAATTTTGAACAGTTAACACAGCAGAAAAAAGGAGCTGCACTGTAATCCCTCATGTATCAGCATAGGAACTGTGATATTTCAGCCATTTACACTGATGCAACCTGTCCACATGGCACAGAACAGCCTGAGAACCTTCTTTAGAGCTTGGCCACCTCCTGCAGTGAACAAACAAAAAGGTCATTGCAATCTGTGATGCCAGAGGGTTTCAGGCTTTAGCAGAGCTGGCAATATAGACACAAAATCAAAGAGCAAAATAATCAGTGGCCCTCCCTCACATACATACAGACTGAAATCCTCACGTGCCTCGAGTTCAACCTTCTTCTCTATCATGAGCAGAGACAAATCATTTCATAATATTGAAACCAAGGATTTTTGCCCAGTTCAGATATCTGTATAGCTTGTACTGCAAGAAAATGAACATGCTATATCCCACAAAATTCAAATACAAGGGAAGGAAAATCATGAAGAAATACAGAATCAAACAACACTGCCACTGGTGCTAGGGGATGTCAGCAGTTTAGGTTTTTTTAAATGCAAAAATGCACTAAATACAAAGATTAAAGCAAACTTAGTTTTCTTCAGTATCTGCAAGAAGATAATTCACTGCCATGTAACTTTGCTATTTATAAGTAAGCACTGAGCACTACTAAAAGCCTGTCCAAATATTCCTACTAAATTGCTGAATCTGACATGAAGCTGCAACATAAATATGGATTAATTTTGTTGCCCATGAAGACATTCCCCTAAGCCTTCTATTTACAGTTAAATATCCTGCCCTTTCATATTCAGATTCTTCCAAAGCCATCTTAATTTGTTTGACATTTACAGAGAGACTTGACATGATTGTACACTGTCTAGCACACAAGGCAGAAGCATTTCTGCGTAATTCTGGACAAGCTTCAAAGAAATTTAGTATTTGTAAAAAATTTTCAGGCATATTGCCTAACCATTAGTTCTGTCATTCATGTTTTCACTAGTTTCTTTTCTGAACAGGCTTGATGTAGCCAAAGAAACTGATTCAGTATCAGTGCAAAGCCACATCACAGCATTATCCTATGGATGACACAGGTGACTTCCATCTCATAACAACACAAACTTGTGTATTTTATTTGCTACATTTTCTGAAACCCCTCCAAACACACTGCTTTTACATACTGGCATCATAGCATAAACTAGCACTAATGCCTATGTCACACGACAAGTATCCAACTGCCAGAATTCCTTAATTTCTGAACTGTCTGGTTGCCTTGGAGAGGGATTAGGCCTTCGTCAGTTATTACACAGCCTGACTCTACAGACACCACTTGAACAACAGAAATAACTGCAGGCAGCTGAAAAAAAAAGGTGCAAGTTCAAGCACCTTGGTTCAAGAAGAGAAACAGCTTCAGTTTTGAGCCTTGCACCTTCTCAGCTTCCTACCCGCTCACCTCCTCGGCCACATTTCAGCAATACACACGTCAGCTAGCTCAGTTGTTCAAGCCAAGTGTATATTTCTAAGTATATTGCAAGAGAAGTGTTTTTATCTACTACCAGTGTTGCTTCACATTGAGGTATAGCTATCATATGTGCAAGCAGTAATGGGAAAACTGACAGGATGGAAGGGTCCAAGCTCTAGAGCAAGGCAAGGGAGGGAAGTATTAGGAAGACAAAAAGAGAGGAACACTAGGGCAAGTGGGGGGAGGGTATCTTTCATTTTGTTGTCGAAGCTGTCAGCTTTGCTACAGCCTGCAACCTAAGATCAGTGAGTGGTGACCCTTCTGCAGGCTCCAGGAGCTAGCCAAGCACTAACCTTCAGATCCAGCTCAGGAAACCTTCATTTCTATTTTGCAAGACCAGCATAACTTCTCTCTGTGTATTCATCTTTGAAGGAGAAAATTACTTTCATATGTAAAACACAGAAGAGCTACTCACTCCTACAACTACCAGTTTGCAGAGACTCTGATAAAAGAGTCTTCGGTCACAGATCCTCTTCTTCTGTACACAGCGGATACTTCTCCTGTTTTGGAAGCCTTCTGGACGACTTCTTTTTTTTCCCCATGTGATTGTGAAAGACTGGACACTGTGGCTCATCTATTTTACAGAAAGTCTCTTTAAAACTGGATGTCTCAATGGCAAGGCTGTCAGCAAAATAAGACTGTCTGCATATTTGCTTAGCCTCAGCACACCAGAAAGCAAATCCTTCTGCATTCATCTTGTACTCCACATGTTCTCCAACACTCTTTTTTCACTCAAATATGTACAAAAGGAAAGAATGTCCCTGCCTTATTACAATGCAGTGGAAATATTCCTGCTTTCAACTTCATCACTAAGAAATCTTTCCAGGCTTTCATGTAAATGTTTTCTCTTCTGCTTAGCTTTAAGTAAACTCTTTCTTTTGGCTTACATCAAAATATCTGACTAAACCAGAAATCCACACTGGTTCCCAAAGTAAATGTCAGCTTCTGTTGTTAAGATACAGTAAAGACATACTTTTATTTACAAACAAAAATCACTGTACAGTTTGAAAAACCAGCTGCTGGGAGAAGGAAGAACAAATTTTGGCTGACCAAAGAAGAGTCCTGGCAAACAGTCTTGTGCAGGATGCTGACAGATGCAAAAAAGCCCCTCAAGAATTAAGTGGATTAATTTTCCCCCTCCCCCGCTAAGGACTGCACCATTTGGGGACTGGAAGAACTTTGTCCTGTTTCCATGAAGGGACACGTCTTACACAGCCACTTGGTTCTCCTCCACACAGTGCACAAACATCCCAGAGTCTTCCTCAATCCCTTTATGTCCACTACATTGATATATGCCTACATTATCTATGTCATATCATCTAGGTTTGAGGGGCTGTTATTTTAATCCTATTTGTGATTAACTGATGTTCAGTTCTACGAAGTAAAATGGTCTCATCATCTGAAGACAAAGAGGAAAGGAAGAAGCACAGAATGGAATTAGCAGACCTGATGAATCTCTAGTTACAAACCTCCTCAAAGCTTAGCAGCTCCAAAACCTGTGCCCTGCCTGACTCTTTTCTGCTCTTCCCTGCAGTGGCAGGCAGACCCTATTCTACAGCCTGTTTGCAGAATAAATAGATACATACAGTAAGGACAGAAAAACTTCCCTGCTCGGGGAACAACAAACTGTCAGCTGATGGACAGTTCAGCTCATCTCAGAGATTCTACAGTATGTTCAGAAGTTAATTCCTTCAATATTTAAATCTAAACTTGTTTCACCTCCTTGTCACATGACATACAGAACTGATTATGTATTACTGTAGGATTTAGTAATTTTACAGTGACTGTTAAGCTACTGCCAATTGGACAATTCTCCCTATCATCAGGGGTATACTGTGTGAGGGATTCTTTTTCTGTGTATGCGATTAGCGTACATCAAAGTATTTGCAAACTTCTAGACAAATATTGAGATTAAATCCTGTATCCAAGCCCCCTAGCAATCTTCCACCTTCCTACTAGAGGCTCCAGAAGGAAGAACAGAGCAGGGGGAAAAGTGAGAAGTTACTATCAGCATCAGAAATCCTACTGACACTCTGCAAAGGCAGACAAAAACTACAAAAGCAGCAATAAAATGCTGTTGTACCTCCAGTACAATGGGAAGAGGGTTCAAGCATCAAAAATCTGGATACTTGTCATCATTCACAAAGACCTGCAAGAAGCTGCAATTACTTATGGACTAAGAGGAGGTTAAAATCCTTTGCACTTTCAAACTACCATCTATCCATGGATATCTGAAGAGATCATATGAATAGAGAGAAGGCTGAGAGGTAATCAGTGCCAAGAAGAGATTTTCTTAGACAAATACTAAGGAAAAGTATTTTCTTTTATACTTTTCCTTTTTATTAAAAAAGGATTAGGTAAAGTTATTGCTAAATGGAAAAAACCCAAAGAGAACAGAAAAGTGTATTTTATCATAGTGCCAAAATAAGGTGACTGCTGATGATCACGAAAAGGGCATATTTTAGGCAGGATGTTTTCTTTTAAAGACGTCTGCAACTTCTTCAACACCAGTACTCACAATACAATTCAAAATACAAACAGGAGTGATTAACAGAATCCACAGATAATCTATTGCTGAGGTCAGAAGCATCTCCCTGCACTTTGTATAGTATTAGAGAAAGCTTTCAAAGGGGAAAAAAAAAAAAAGGAAAAAGAAAAAACATCTGATCTGGACACTGTGACTGCTGTTTTTCTTACAGCAGAGCTTCTCTCTGGCACAGCACCGAGTTTTCCGCTGTTCTGCACTCATATGAAATCATAAACCCCATGGAGACAGTGCGAGTCAGTCAGCAGTAGATGCTGGA